AGATAGTGTGTTAAAATTAGGATGTTTTATTGCCTATATTAATCGATCCATACTACGAAAAAGATCGGTTAATCTGATGACGATTACCTAACTCTAATAATAACTGATGTGACAAAGTAAACATGTCTTGTCCCTATTTTGAAGATCTATAACTGTATAAGAATTCAACATTCTTTCAGAAACGATTGGTAGAATATTGTCCAGAACATCAGAGCTCAAGTTTAACAATTTCAGGTTAAATTTGTCAAAGTCACTAAAAATGTGACAAAATTAACTTTTCCTGCCCCAACAATATCAAGATAGTGTGTTAAAATTGGCATAGGAATTAGGATGCTTTATTGCCTATATTAATCGATCCATACTACGAAAAAGATCAGTTAATCTGACGACGATTACGTAACTCTTATAATAACTGATGTGACAAAGTAAACATGTCTTGCCCCTATTTTGAAGAACTATACCTCTATTAGAATACTATGTAATTTTATCATCAAAAAAATTTCGATAAACTAGTTATTTTGCCAGCAAGGAGCTGACAGAGTTATAATAATTTTTTTGTGACAAAATTACCCTATTTTTGACCATGTTGCGGTAGTTTAAATGTGACACTGTTAACATATTACCACCTGATAATGATTTATGTGACTGGTGCATGGTACTAGCAGTGTTGTTTGATCCATAGTACGTAATACAAAGGGTTTAAGCTGGTATATCATTATTTGTTCAATTTCACACATGTTCAGATATCATCAAGATTATGTGACAAAGTAAACTTGTCTGTGCCTTCTGTGTTTTAATTCCTTGCGACTATATGATATAATAACAATTCCTAGCACTTCCAGGCCATTAACTAAACCTACACTACTCAGCATTGCTTATCAGGGTTCCCTAAACATTGTTCATATATTTTCTTAAATGTGTGACAGAGTAAACCTGAGTGCACCATCTAACGAAAAAAGTCTTCAAATATGTAGGTAATGGTCATATGTACCCATCCAATCAACTGGACACTCAAAATTTTGGTCAAAAACGGCAGCAAGGGGTCCATATTTACTCTGTCACATGTTTATAGTGTGACAATGTAACCATTTGCGTGCCGGCCGTATTTAAGCGATATCTTATCACCTGATTAAGATATCGTTATGTGACAAAGTTAGCCTAGAGGATGAGACGATTATCCTAACCATCAAGGATTTGTGTAATTTCATAGTGTGACATAGTCAACTACACTGTGCCTTTTAATAGGGTCACTTATATTTACCAATATCCTCAAACTCAAATGAACGTGTCCATATAAAAAACTTTATTTGGTTGTTAGTATTTTTATTATGGTAAGTGGTTGAATTTAGTGAGACAAGGTCAGTTTCTCTATTGCAAACTAGATCATAGATTTGTAGCGCTGGGCACTACTTTGACCACGCTGCGCATCCAATAATACTTCTTCGTTAGATCGGCGAGATGCACCACTGTGTACTTAACTAGGCCACGCCGAGCTGTAAAGGATTGACATCGTCAATTAAAATCTAGATTTAATGTGAATACCTAGCTTGCTAATTTCTTGCTTGGTTCCCGTCACAATAAGCTCGAAAAAAGCGCAGCGTATATTAATATTATATCAGTAGGCACGACTGGTAAGATTTTATGGGGCCATTAAATTCCACACATTGCAATAATATTTTTCAAACTTAATTATTAACTTGCATATAAAGACAAACTTTTGAATTATAAGTTAAATAATGTGCACAGCCAGGAAATTTTAAATGAAATCAGAACATATTATAATTACTTAATTTAACTTTATCATTCACAGACCAACCAGCCTATATTTGCATTACGTTGCCAGGTCTAATTAGATATTCGAGACAATTATTTGCAGATATTATTAAAGATTAAAAATTTCTAATTGAAAAGTTCCGATTTTATAATCACAAAATCTACTATATAGTTTAAAGGATTATCGATTGAAGTGTAAAGATAGGGAGAAACCCATGGCCATATCTGGTCTTGGATCTAGCTTTATAACATGATGGCATAAAAGGTTACCCTGTTAGATGACCATGAATCATGTTCGTGGAGAAGCATTAAGAGTTTGGTGATTGGTTAATGGTTTGTTGACAGTCCTGTAGTCGAGGAGAGGGACAATTGTCAAGTTGAGGCCTCTCTTTCTACGACGGCATAATCATAGATTGTTCTATGAATGTATGATGTGTCTCTTTAATTCAGTGAAGGTAGTCAGGTTAAACAATAAACACCTTGTCACTACAATAAGTCCCATCAAATTTAGCTGTTGTGTTTATCATAGAGTTGACTGCTGGGTGCTTCCAGTTCCACTCGGAAAAGCGTTTGAGATATTTCTCTCCTGTTGAGGCTGAAATACACGAGGAAGTTTGGCATGAATGAATCTCTTGAAGCTTGCCATGGAAATGTAGTAGATGAATATATTTGCAAAATTATTGAGATATGCAATGGCGTTTGTGATGGTAAAAAGCTGAAGGTAGAATATAGCTTTTGTGTTAAGTGACATCCCTGATAGGTCAGGGTGAAGATAGAGGTTGTTGTAAATAGTGTGATAAATGATGAATGGTAGGTATGTCAGACAGTAGATTCCTGCAATTGAAAGAACAGTGACCACTCCTTGCCATTGAACTGAATCTCTTCCTCGCTTTGCAATTTTAAATGCAACACAAAGTAGCCCAATGGTGGTGCCAAGAACAATCAATATTGGTGCATACCCTAGCAGACCCATGAAAATCAGCACTGAAAATCCTAAGCCTATTCCAAGGTCTGCTGGCACATACCAACACGACATGATTCTATACTCAAAGAATATAGGCGAGAATTTTCCACATATCAGGGCAACACTTTGAAACAGAATGTAGATGGACCAAGCAACTGCTGCTACAAGATGACCACTTCTCTTGGACCAGTGCCTTGCTTGGATGGGAAACAAAAGCAGACACAGCTTGCAGGTGTTCAGAGCACACACCAGAAAGACACTTGAATAATAGAAACCCATCCTGATGTAGGTAATAACATCACAAAGCAGGGGCCCAAAGGTCCATCTATCAGCAATCAAGGTAACCAGAGAAGGAATGATTCCAAAGGTTGCATTACCAATGTCAGAGAAAGCTAAATGTTGAATCAGGGTGTTGGTTACCTTGTCAAGTTTCACTGCCTTGTACTTAATTGTAGCAACTAAGATGATGGTGTTACCCACTAAGGCAAGGAGAAGGGCTAAGCAATAATATGTGATAGCTGCATATCTTTCAGCTTCAATGTTTATGTAGTCTGTCCAAGGTTCATATTTAGCTTTGTATAGCTGGAGTACAGACATGTTTCTCAAGGGCACAGTCAGATTTGCCATGATGATCTTCAACCTAGAAGTATTTTATTATTTTTATTATTATTAGATAATTCATTATTTTATGGGTTTTAAAATCTTTATTGAAATTAGATTCTAAAAGTATAAAAAGGGGGATTTAGTGATGAGTGGTGAATAACAACCAAATGCGATTTGGTGGAAGAAATTAAAGATGGCATTGCCATCATGGCAGTTGTGCTATAGAACTGTCCTGTAAACAGTCTGGAAACAGTGGGATTAAGTCATGATCAGATGAAACTATAACCCTGTAACCGCTGGAAACATGGCTTCAGTCATTTGTTGATAATGGTGTCAACAAACTTCCAAGGCTTTAAGTATTTGGATAAAAAAACAAGTTTTTTGTGCAAAATGACATTTTTGTTAAAGTTAGGATGCTCTAAAACTTAAGGAATCAAAGATTAATCGAATAAATTTTGAATTGAACTGAAACTGGCTTTTGACTGTGCACACGCTTTTTATTGTCAAACAAGTGCTACAAGACTGAAAACAGGTGCTTCTTGATAAAAGTAAATACTGTCGGTTGCAGTCAGTTTTAAAAGAAAAGTATTAGACTCAAATCTAATTTTAGTCAGCCAGGTGTAGAAAAATTACTATGGAAGTGAGAAGTCTCTTGGTTATAGAAGTAATGTTAAACTAGTTCACTTCCTAATTGAGCAAAGTGGATGATCAAACGAGATAGCATTGAAGTGCAACGAAATGTCAGCAATCTTCGATTTAAAAAGAGGGTTTTTGAGTAAGAAGCGATTAGAGCTGACAAGTTTGAAGGTCTCTGAACCAGGTGTGTCTCAGTTTTATCAGCTGGAAATGATTTGTTATCTTAAATTGAGCGAGATTTCAGGACACGCAATATATGGATTTGCGATGGCAACAAAATTAAATATATTTGACTAATACAATTTGCTGTTAGGGGGAAATATTGAAGGCGGTTTGAGCAGGTGCTTGTGAAAAGCTAAAATCATAGTTCTATTTAAATAAACGGCTTACTGAAACGTTTGAAATACGCAGGTAAAATAGTAATTAAATGCAGGTGGTCCTGCGTAATGTCTCCTTTACGGAAACTTTAATATATATTAATGTTTATTATCATATAATTTAAGTCGTCCCTAAGAATTATAATATCTTCCAGGTGTAGTTTGCCTATCAAATTATTACTTAGTCCATCCCTGGCTTAATCAAATTTAAAAGTACACAAATACGCTATGGTATCCAAACTCACAAAGTTAAACAGCTTCATTAGATGACAAAATTGGAATCTTTGTACTAAGTTAAAAGTAAGTCAATAAAATTCAAATTTAGAAAGTTTTTGAAGACAAGGGCCTGAGATCTGGTGAGTTGATCTCGCCTGTATTCTATTTCCTATAGCTGTGCTATTAATGGGATGGAACACAAAGCTCACAGCAGCTTATATGATATGATAATTTGTTAAATATAGAAATGCTGATTTCCTCAGAATCAAATTGCTATGCTAACTTCTATGCTTTCGCTTCTCGAGAAGTACTCACAGTATTAATTCGCTTATTTTTAAGGGTCGTTCAAGCATTATTACATAATCACTTTCTGGCCAATTTTTTGGTTCATATTACTTATCATAATTTAATGATGAACAATGACCGTTCAGATTAATCATGTCACTAAGAAGTGCATCACTTCTCTACAACTCCGCTAAAGCTCTCAGGTAAGAATCTCATTACTGTTTAATGACAAGTTAGATCGTTAGGATTCTCTGCCAGATGGATTTTGAACTATTTTAGTCTCCTAGAGCTGGCAGATCATTTTTACCAACAAATCATTTAGAAACACGTGCAGTTTTCAACAGACCTTGTGGGCCAGCTGATGATCATGAAAAAGCTCCTGTAATCGCCTTCGTTCAATGCTAAAAATTATCATCTGAGTTTATCCTCAGTTTGAAAATATCTTGAATGGAAATATCCTAAATACTTGTTGACCAGCGTGACTTGTATCTTCAGAACATAATTACGTGCGTAATAATAACCCAATACTTTCCCCAGAGCATATCAGCCCGTAGCGGTGACATGTAAGCGATATCTTGGCGAAACAGCAAACACGTCATTTGCACGTGGTATATTTCTGGGAGAACTGCGCGAGGAGGAGCTGTTCCCTTACCCTGATGTACTGTCAGCCGAACAAAAGGAAACCATCTCCATGATGATGGAGGCAGGACACTCTTTCTTCCAGGTATAGTGGTAGGGTTTATAATAAATAGACAAGTTCTGTGTGCTCCTTGTTTTGCATTAAATTTTTGTTATGCATAGCTTTGTGATTGTATACAACTTGTTATGATTATTTCTCATCAAGTTTATCTCGAATTTACAATAAAATTTATTCGGACATCGGTTAATGCTTGTCGCCAAATGTTAAAATAGTACATAACGCTGGAATAACTTGAAATGAAATGAAAGAACATGCGTGTAAGTTGTATAGTGTATACCGCCCATATAATGGATAGCAACTGACACAAGTGGCAGGGAAAACCATGTGAGAGTGGTTCTAAATGGTGAGGTAAACATAGTCAGCAACAAACAACTAAACAACTAAATCATCTCAAAAAAAACTATTGTTAAAAGCCGTTAACTACTGGAACTGTAATAAAGCTGGCAGATGAGACCATTGTATGCCGAAATATGAGATGCTAGTTTACTTTGCTAGATATCTATTTTACTAGTAAGCAGTAAGTTCTATCTCTACCTTGTACAGGAAACAAACGATGCAGCTGGGAACGATTCCAACGAGAAGATCCCAGAAGAACAACTTGATCAGATGAGAGCTCTGGGCATGTACGGCCTCATGGTACGTACTTTGTGTTAAACACAGAGTAATTATGTGTGATTTATTGTAGGCTTAGTAGGCTGCTGGAAAAATAAACAAGTTAAAACGAACGTTTTTATCCTGAACGTGTGAAAAATCTAGGTTTATCACGCGATTAAGTTATGAAATGAAATAAAATAAAATGAGGTATTTATATCCCGCTCATATGATTAACCAACAACACAAGGAAGGTGGTTAACCATGTCAGAGCGGCTGACTGTGAGTGATGTGAGCAAATGTGTAAAAGTGAACAAAAGTATAACTCATCTAGAGATGATAAATATGAAATGTTGCAATCGCAGCAAAATGTTCTTTAGAACAGCTGCACTGAACAAATATTATAAGGATTTTCTATTGACCACAGTAATTCCTGTACGGTCTTCTTAATCTTTACTCTGAATTTTGATACACCAGTTAGCCCAACATAGAAGGATTATAATATTCTCTAATAAGTTGAACACTCTAGAGTACCAAATAACGGAGTAGTTCGCTGTTTATTAATCTCGTGATTGAAATACTGATATCTGGATAATATCCGGTTGGAAGAGACAAGGACTTGTCCCTTCCAACCGGATATTATCCAGATATCAGTACTCTAGAGTACATATTTATATCTAATATCTCTCTAGAGTATTGTGATTATACCGAGTTTTAAAACTTAGGTACCAAAAGAGTATGGAGGTGTTGCTCTCACTAACACACTAACTTATGTACCAGAAGAGTATGGAGGTGTTGCTCTCACTAACACACTAACTTAGGTACCAGAAGAGTATGGAGGTGTTGCTCTCACTAACACACTAACTTAGGTACCAGAAGAGTATGGAGGTGTTGCTCTCACTAACACACTAACTTAGGTACCAGAAGAGTATGGAGGTGTTGCTCTCACTAACACACTAACTTAGGTACCAGAAGAGTATGGAGGTGTTGCTCTCACTAACACACTAACTTAGGTACCAGAAGAGTATGGAGGTGTTGCTCTCACTAACACACTAACTTAGGTACCAGAAGAGTATGGAGGTGTTGCTCTCACTAACACACTAACTTAGGTACCAGAAGAGTATGGAGGTGTTGCTCTCACTAACACACTAACTTAGGTACCAGAAGAGTATGGAGGTGTTGCTCTCACTAACACACTAACTTAGGTACCAGAAGAGTATGGAGGTGTTGCTCTCACTAACACACTAACTTAGGTACCAGAAGAGTATGGAGGTGTTGCTCTCACTAACACACTAACTTAGGTACCAGAAGAGTATGGAGGTGTTGCTCTCACTAACACACTAACTTAGGTACCAGAAGAGTATGGAGGTGTTGCTCTCACTAACACACTAACTTAGGTACCAGAAGAGTATGGAGGTGTTGCTCTCACTAACACACTAACTTAGGTACCAGAAGAGTATGGAGGTGTTGCTCTCACTAACACACTAACTTAGGTACCAGAAGAGTATGGAGGTGTTGCTCTCACTAACACACTAACTTAGGTACCAGAAGAGTATGGAGGTGTTGCTCTCACTAACACACTAACTTAGGTACCAGAAGAGTATGGAGGTGTTGCTCTCACTAACACACTAACTTAGGTACCAGAAGAGTATGGAGGTGTTGCTCTCACTAACACACTAACTTAGGTACCAGAAGAGTATGGAGGTGTTGCTCTCACTAACACACTAACTTAGGTACCAGAAGAGTATGGAGGTGTTGCTCTCACTAACACACTAACTTAGGTACCAGAAGAGTATGGAGGTGTTGCTCTCACTAACACACTAACTTAGGTACCAGAAGAGTATGGAGGTGTTGCTCTCACTAACACACTAACTTAGGTACCAGAAGAGTATGGAGGTGTTGCTCTCACTAACACACTAACTTAGGTACCAGAAGAGTATGGAGGTGTTGCTCTCACTAACACGATGTACGCTAAATTTGGAGAACTCACCGGCGAATACGATCTTGGTCTTGGTATGTACTGATAGATTGCAATACGTATGTTTTGAAAGTGTACTGACGGTTTGTATGTTTGTTTATCTGCATGCACCTGCCCATACTTTTAACAACAACTTTACTGAGTATTATTTACTGAGCTGGCACATACGGAAAAGGGCATATTTTTACAATCTCCATTTTATTATAATTATTGAATATCTATTCAACTCTGTACATTGCTTGGAAAACTTTTGGTAAAAAGTTTTAACATGACGTGTGAAAACTGACCTTTATTTTCCAAGTTGTTCAAATACCTGCGCCTTGTAATATATGTATTCTTTATCGCGTGATATTTAAAAAATGTGAACTGTAACCAATATTATGGGATCAGGTTTCTTTCCGGGTCTTATTATAACGAACTGGTACTTTCTATTCCAGACTTGATAAGACTGCATATACAGCTTAATTAAATCTTTTTACGGATATGGTGGTTACTGGTTATGAGTCCATTCCAGTTTCCACAGAGAATCGTTTAATATTGAATTACTTTGATGTATTTTTATAAGACATATTAAACGGAGGAGTCTTAGAAAGCGTAAATAGGCTGAGCCTCTTTATGTACTCTTTCGTTTATAGATGTTATTATATACATTACCTGGACGTTATTTATGCAGGTATACACACTGGAGCACATCAAAGTATTGGCTACAAAGGAATACTCCTGTACGGTAACGAGGAGCAGAAGGAGAAGTACCTCCCTTCCCTGGCGTCAGGAGATGTGTTCGCTTGTTTCTGTCTTACTGAGCCTAGCAGCGGATCTGATGCTAGCGTACGTTTTATATTCTGTGTTTTATATAGTCGAGAGATTCAAAGTCCACTTTTGCAAGGAGCTCTTATCATCTTACTACAGCTGGTGTTACCTAAATTGATTTTGAATTTCTCTAAAATGAAACGGATCGCCCTGTGATAAATAGCCCTACTATTGAAAACTGTGTACTTGTCCTACAAGTACATATTGATTGGTAAATAAGTATTGTTATATCAGTTATCAAGACTGCAATAGATTCAATTTCTTTTCGATGAGTTGTACCTCTAAGTTTTTCTTCCTGAATTAGTGTGATCAGTTAAAATTACACATGCTACGCAGTACGCAGTACACAGGTGGCTCCTTTAATCTACTTTTGGGAGATTCAGCCCTTCCATTAACTCAATCTCCCATTCTAATCGTGTTGCCAAATTGAGACACGTACTGTGTTTTCATTACAGACAGATTCGCAATATTTTACCCTCAAACATTGTTATGATTTTTGCAGCAGGATGTTCTCATAAAAAATACCTTGAGCTAAGATAATTTATTAATTAATAGCTTTATGGAATACTAAGTATTGTTTATATTACAGTCCATCAAAACGAGGGCAGTGCTGAATGAGGCTGGTACACACTACGTTATGAACGGTGCTAAAATATGGATCAGTAACGGTGGAATTGCAGAGGTAAGTGAAATCATGTAGCACTGGTGGATGTTAAAATAGATAATAAATAATTTATAAATAAATAGATAATAAATAACTTATAAATAAATATATAATAAATAATTGTATCGTTTTATTCTTTCTGCGGCAGTAGGACCAATGAACCACGTTAATCTAATAACTAATCATGATATTGACGAATTTCTGTTTTTCAGATCTTCACAGTTTTCGCTAAAACGCCTGGAATAGACAAAAAGACTGGCGAACCTAAAGACAAAATAACCGCATTTATTGTGGAGCGAGCCTTCGGGGGTGTCAGCCAGTAAGTTATTACTCTTCAGTTTTTGTTCTGCATTGTGGCAAATACTGATTTGGTAGGCCTCGTGGCTCGTATCAATTTCGCACAAAATGAGTCATAACATAAATGCATTTCGCTGCTTAAATTAATTGCTTATAATTCAATATTCTTACAAATTGGCATCTTCGCTGGGTGTGTTCCAATGTTACACGTAGTAAATTAATTTTGTTAACTGTTTTGCTACTGTGAATTCACCTGTGTGCTTGTATATGTTGTATAATTAGCTTTAGTACAATCACGTGATCTCAAAATGTATATATTGTGACGTCACAATTAGATAAGACTCGTCCATGTTACCAAAACGGCTGAACGCAGTTGCATATTTGCAGAGTGCGAGACGCAAAATATGTTCAGAAATCTGTGCGCGCTTTAATATTATACTGCGCGCAGTTTTTTTCGTAGATTCACGGCAGTGGAACTTCTACTTCTTAAACTCTCCAGCACATGCGTCACATTTTCGAGGTTTCACAATTATGTTAGAAGATAACCTTGATTTTATCTGACGTGTATAATTTCAGTGGCCCACCAGAGAAGAAAATGGGAATTAAATGTTCCAATACTGCTGAAGTATACTTCGAGAACTGTGAAATTCCCGTGGAAAATGTTCTTGGTGAAGAGGGAGGTGGTTTCAAGGTAACTATATTAATTTTACTTTTCCGTATTATCTTATTGGTAAGAAAGTGAATTAGTGGCTCATCTTACTTTCGTTCTTCATTCTGTTTTAATCTTAACCTTCAGACTCAACTGAATACCATTTCTTAGATAAAAAGCCGGACTATGGCAAGAAAAGTAATTCCATGAAATTCGAAAATCCAAAATAAATCCCATATCTTTATACAATCAAACTTTAAAACATCGAAAAACCCAGGTTGCCATGAACATCCTGAACAACGGCAGATTTGGTATGGGGGCGTGTCTAACTGGCACAATGAAAATGTTGATTGCCAAATCCACGGATCACGCAAATACCAGAAAACAGTTCGTTAGTAACCTCAGAGAATACCAGGGAATACAGCAGAAGATCGCAAGGATGAATCTATTGTGCTATGCAAATGAGGTAAGAAATTTAACACAAAGAAAACTTTTTTATGCCCTGTGGCCATGGTTTTGGATTATAGATAATCTCTTTTAATTAAGGAAACTGAAGACATAGTAAGTTATATTTGTTTGCATATAATTCATCAATAGCTTCATAGCTTCCTCGTAAAGATCGTTGCGGCCGTACTACTACAGGTTGCATTTTCGATCTTCTTAGGATTTCTGCAGAGCAGCCTATTCTTCAGTGACTCCATCAACTTTTTGCTCCTCCATATCAAGATAACCGGATTGAGCGCCGAGCTTAAAAAAGGGAATACCGTGCTTGTCAAGTAGCACAGCTGCAAGACACGTTGATCACTCCAGTAGTCTAGGTTAAGAATCCAGCACAGAGTCAGGAATGCTGCGTACACGGTGTTACATAACGAGAAGACTGTGGTCAGCATTCCGATTGTGATCGTTACTTCCCGTTCTGTATTGCTACTTTCGCCACTCTTGCTGGCGGACATCTTTTTCTGGCTAGTGGAAAGCTTCCTCCAGTTGATTGCTAAACATGCCAGTGAAATTATAACCGCTAAGATGAAGGGAGCGCAAGATGTAGCAAAGGTTACTCCCTGTGGAATTTGTATTGATTTCTTACTACCCTTCTTGGCTTGAATGTTTGCCACTGAGACCACTATGTCCTTGATACAGAAGTCTCCAACGAATGGGAGAAAGACGTATCGGATCTTACTCCCAAATGATGTTTCTAATTCTCCTATTTGAACAGCATCATAGATTATAATAGGCAGCAGGACTATAGGGCAGATGAAGATTGCTATCCACATTTTTTTAATGTTCACTTGGTAGAAAGGTCGGGTTATATTGATGGTTCGGACTACAATCAGCACCACGTTGACAAAGACAGAAACTCGCAAGATTAGTGTCGTCAAGGAGAACACAACACCGAGATAGGGGGTCAGCACTGGTGACTCGTCGTAAACATCTAGGAGAAATCAGGATTTAAGATTGATGTCTGTAAAGCAAAAGTCATCTGAAAATCAGTTCATCAATCCACAAATATATAAAATCTTATTCGGTGAATAATTTTCACAAACCTTACTTTCGCAACTTGTTTAAGAAAATACCTGCTATTACGAGTAACATGGCGACGAAATGGAGTATTGCTGTCAGGCACACAATAAAATCTGTGAAAGAGAGGGCCAGATAGAGGGAGGGAACCAAGTTACCTCTCTTACTCCAGTAGTAGGCTAGGATCTGAATGTTTGCAGGCAGACCAAATAGTCCTACATTGGGCGAATTAATGTGTTATATAGAAATGTATAATGGTGCTATAAATGATATCAGTTAAGAGTTCTAGGACATATAACTCTTTTTGGATTTTATATTGAATTTAGTATTTACGCAGTACTTAGTAGAAAATGCCTTTAAATTAGAAACATTCAATTCGCTAAATCTTACCAATGAGAAGAGAAGTAATTGCCAAGGATATTGACGCTTCATTTTGCTTTTTAAACTCCATCTCCTGTTCATACCAGTTTGGAGTTGTCATCATCCAGTGCCCATTTATTCCGTCTGTCATAAAAGACATCGACCAACTTTCCTCTTTTGCGTCTGTCATCGATGGCATCAGCGAATTTCTGACAATTCCGCCAGTCATCGTTGTAGGAAATGAGTGGGGTCGAGTAGTCCCAGCAGCAAATGTCATCTCTAGCTCTTTCTTCACCTTCTTTCTAGAATAATTTTCGGGCTTAATTTTCTTCGCAACCATTTTGACGAAGGCTTATAGATCAGTGGGGAGTAGGTAATCGGGTTTAGATATTTCGGTGGCCAACCATAAGGCCCTCTGAGATTCGGGTTCCCACGGTGATGTTTAAAGTGGCAACAAACCCCCATAAGATCTGGGCAAATTGTTGGCGATAAAGTTTAACAGATATCAACTCAACCAAAACAAGTTGGATAAGCAAAAACTGATTAAAATAATTCTATTTAATTACAACGGAAGCAAATACGTCAGTGCTAACTGCTAATACAATATCATGTTAATATCAAATGTATCTTCATTTGTTTTTCTTTACAGCAAGTAAGACAGAAGTACATCTCCGGATATTGTGTTGATGGAATTTGTAGTATCTAATATTAGTCTGTGAAAACTTTGGCGATATTAAACGTTTAACATTGCTACAACATTTAACTACAATGAATCAAGATTTAAGAGACACATCACGTCAAGGGGAACTTGTTTGAACAACAAGAGCAAATATTATATCTTACTAATCACTAATAAATGCACTAATACTTGCCCAACAAACTGATGAGCTCGAAAAATATTTCAGGAAATTTGCTTCCAGAATTGAAATGAAGCAATGTGAAATGATAAATCCAGAAAGATTTTGTTGTGCCAATTTAAGGGTCAAAGGAAAAGTTCTGCAAATTTTGAAAAATATGCCTACAGTAATAGGTCTCACTCTCAAAGAGGGTGGAACATGCAAGGAGGGAGAATCTGGAACAATTTTTGGAAATTTGTTTTAAGGAATGAATTCTAGCAATGAGGTAATGTAAATTTGGACTACAAGGGGCAAACTGTGTCCTGCTAATTTACTCCCACGGCATAAAAGAGTAATCAGTAATATTATCTTAATTTCTGGAGGGAGAATCTGGAACAATTTTTGGAAAATTTGTTTTAAGGAATAAATTCTAGCAATGAGGTAATGTAAATTTGGACTACAACCGGCAAACTGTGTCCTACTAATTTATTTGAAAATACTGGACACGGTATAAAAGAGTAATCGGTAATGTTATCTGAATTTTATAATTGCTAGGCTTCTGAACTTCTGATGAATCCTGACATGTAATATGAGAATATGTCTTAAGTTAAATCAGGATTAACCCAAATAACCGCCGCACATAACCTCCCTCGCAAGTCGAAATACCATTAAATGGCTTAGTCAAAAGCTGATAGTTAAACTATGAACATTCTTGCAGTAAGAAGAATAGCAACTGTGATCTAAAATCGGAAGGAATTTGTTTATTAAGAGCTTTGTCGATATAGTGATATGTCCTTCAACTCTAATTTAAGAGGGGTCTGAGTTTAATTAATCTTTTGTTGACACATTAGTTGTCCATTAGAATGAGACAACAGAATCATACAATATTTTCAGAGCATCGTTCGCATGTCTGGTGCCTGCTCAAGACTAAAGTAAATAATAAAGCAGTGAGCAGAAAAAATAAAAACATACTTACGAAACCGCCATAAAAATTGGAAAATTGGAAACCTAAAAATTTGTTAACCATCAATTAAGATATTCTTCAACTAAATATTCCATGTGATTTCTTTTACCGCATTACATCTTTACGTTAACTGGTCTGTTTTCACCTTAAAGTGTACGTAACAAGTGTATTGAGTCTCTTAACATTATGTAAACTGCACTGAAATTTCCCGCTTGTTATCGGACAAAATTAGGAATCATTTGTTATACTTTAAATTAACAACAGTATGTTTTCAGTCGATGGCGTACATGCTGTGTGGAAACATGGACAGGGGAGCTCCCGAGTATCAACTGGAAGCAGCCATCAGGTAATACTTATTGTGAGAAACGTTTAATATGACCAAGACGACAGTATTAATGTTGAAAATCGAGGAGCCAAATCATAGGACAATATAAGTGACACTGTATGAACTATTTAATTTGATTAATATGCAGACAAAACACGCTAATACGAGAAGAAAGGCACGCTTTGAAAGGGAATAGATATGAAAAGAAAATTAACAATTGCTGCATTAAAATCAGCCTTCAGCTTTGTCTCTGGCAGTCCAATGTCAGAATTTAATTCGCAAAATATTCGTGCTTTTCCCAATAATAACGCCTTCTAATACCACTCTACATTCCAGTAAGATATTTGCAAGTCAAGCAGCATGGGACGTGTGCGATGAAACTATTCAGATCTTAGGAGGAGCTGGTTTCATGAAAGACGTTGGGATTGAGAGGTGGATGAGGGATCTCAGAATTTTCAGAATATTTGAGGGAACCAATGATATTCTGAAACTTTTCGTTGCACTTAATGGCGTACAAGATATTGGCAAGAAATTGAAAAGTGCAGGTAATGAATTTTAGACATAATGAATTTTAGTAGTACACATTTTCTTTGAGCTTACAAGTTTGACTCAATTAAGTATGTAAAAATTGCAACACTAGCTATGTTATTGTATCCATCCCCTCCTCACGTCATCCTGGTCACAACTGTTATCTAATTTACAAGCATGTTTATAATTCCAGGTACAATGGGTGCTATGATGGGGTTAATGAAGAACAAGTTCTTACCAGCTGCCCCGCTGAAGTGCAACGTGCACTCAGATCTAGCACCCTCAGTAGATATGGTGAGGATTAGCTTATTAAATTTAAACTAATTGATCAGTTAACAAATGATTGCCAGTAAACAATTATTTCGAGAGGTAGGTACTACTAATAGGTACGGACTTCAGTAAATTAAACCGAATAAAATGTGTTAGGCTCATAATGATCATGGTAGCATAAACTGTGGAAAACAATTGATTTCCAGGAATCCACTTTCACAAGCATTGAGCAAGGGCAAAGATGAGGAAATAAAATATGTAATGTGTTAGGCATAAGGTTAGTTTATAGTATGTAAAGTGGCATTGAATCATGCTCGATTGTTAAAACTATCTATACTAATAATCCCAGAATGTCTGTGTGGTCTCGGCCGAAGGCACGGGTTATTATTATACTAGTCAATCTATATTATAACTTTATAACAAACGTTAGCGAACTCAATACGGACAACATCTCATGAGGCCGAGGGTAAAGGAAATATTTCTACGAACATACTCAGGTGTGTCTGCTTTAAACTCGGACGATGAGCCCTCGGTCCCCACAAAAGATCATTTTTAGAAGTGGAACATCGAGTTCCGTTCTGGCGAGGTCTGGCGATTTCGCCTAGTTTGGCATGTCGCGGTGCCGCGATTTTTGGCCTAAATAATCGCGATTTCCTTTTTCCCTTGGTTAACATCCTTCAAATACAATTGATAATTTCTTTAAATGTAACAAACCTTCTGTTTAAACAATACTTTCACAACCCATGACCTGACCACCCCCTTCTCAGCTGAGAGGAGACATATCAAAGTTCAGCGTGTCAGTCAGCGAACAGGTGATAAAACACAAGAAGAATATAATCTCGCAACAAGTTCTTCTAAACAGGGTCGCTGACGTGGCCATTCTGCTCCAGAGCATGGCCTCTGTTATTAGTCGGTCTAACAACATGGCTGAAAAGGTAATTAATTTAGCAACCAGTTATTAATAGTTTAGATAGTTTAAATTAATTGTCAGGCTGTGTTACTGGTGACTACATGTGAAATTCTTTTCAATTTTTACAATAAAGTATGTTTGGAAACTGTTTATCAAACATCGATATAATGAATGTTATAATGTGATGAATTGTCGAGACGGAATTCAGGACTATTACCACTGGTAATAGTTCTTAACATACATGGTAATTTACCATATATGCTAAAACAATGTCACCACAAACTGTTACATTCCAGGGAGATACCGGTGAGATTGTGCTAGCAAACGCTTGGTGTGCAGAGAGTCACCAGAAGATAAAAATCCTACTCGACGAGATGGGCGACAGCGAAATCACCAAAGTAGACGAGGCTGTCCTTGCTGTAGGAAGAATGGGACTGGATGCTAACGGCTACCTTGCCAAGTCCCCCATAGGCTGCTAAGTGTGGGATGAAACACCAATTAGGACACATTTTCAGAGAGACTGTATAGAAATGTTAAGTTAAGCTTTATAATATAAAGAAATTGTATTTCGTTTTGTATTTTGCGAGACTTAGCCATAATTTGTTGCATGGAACTTGTAACTTTAACTTATTGTGACCCTCTTTACATAAATCCATGGATAATATCATGTTCAGCATAATCAGCATTTCCAACTATTATTAAACAGTAATACACATTACACATCATAAACTTTCGAGTGTCCGTACATTCAAATACGTTTTATTAGATGAGTTAATTCTTAATTAACTGCCAGCTCTTGAACTGCCAGTTCGATATTATGAATTTGATAATTTGAAGCTTACTAAAATTATATACGTAATAGTAGATTTTGTGAGATTTTCAAGTTTTTCTCGTATTCCTGTAATATAAGATAGTTTTAGTTTATAGTCCGTAAAATGTCTAGATATTGATAAGTGGACTGATAACCGTGCCTCTCTTTCAGTGCTGCTCGTGTTTAGTTGATATTAATTGTGATTCGTTGAAGATATGACGATTTTAGTTAAACCCAAAGAGATTAGTTTTATTTTGTGTTTGGTATATTTGGAAATATACTCTCAAGATAGACAAGTTGGATCGAATCTTGGAAAAAGAAAATTGTTAGCCATCACTCAATCTGTATACTGGTATAGTATATTGGTATAGTATACTGGTATAGTATACTGGTATAGTATAATAATACCGGTATAGTATACTGGTATAGTATAACACTGGTATAGGATCTTAAAATTTATTCCGCTTTTATTTTTATTCCAATCTACAGTTATTCTCGATTCCTTGCTAGCAGTCCGGTTAATTTAGTACCTTTAGTGGGTCTCATTTAATCATTAGCTCTAATTAAAGAACCTCTCACCCTCTCAGAAAACTCCGTTAGGAGATATTCCTTATTACGCTCTAGATAAGTTATTAATTTTCCTTGTGTTTGAATCCTGTCACTTTTTAACTGTTTTTAGTCTTTGTTATTTTCGGCCGATTTCTGCACTTTTACACTGGGTCATCTTCATAATTTCTGGGATTGAGACGACTTATATCAGCATTTAAGGAAGAGTTTGCTTGTCTGACTTACTTCATTAGACACTTCTGGTCAAGAACTGAACAAGAACCACATTCGAAAACTGGAACATCTGATTGACTCCGCAACCCAGGAATCAACTACTCAGTTATTATCGCTCAATAATCGGTTTGGTATCGACGTTACATACTTTATTATTTTTTTTTAAAGCTGATTTTAGAAACCAGGGAATTAAAGTTACCCTCCTAAGGCTAACATTAAATCGCTGATTTTATTTATATATATCACTTTTTTTTGTTCTTTTTTTCCTTCAAAACATTCCAGTACATTGTGCAGAAAGTTGGAGATGAAGCCGTAGTACGTACATGTAGCATTGCACTGGATCGAACTTGCAGAGTGTGGTTTCCTCCAGTCTGCGCCGCGCGCTTATAATTATATAAACATATGCGGCGCAGATCGACTGGAGGAGATTGCACTGTGTAGGCTCCGGTGTAATGTGATATGTATGTACTACGGCTTTACAAATTTTGGAAGCATGTAGGGATATATATCTGATACCAATCGTATATACTAAAAATACTCTAGCACAATTGTAACTGCAGTTTTACAGAACTCTAAATGCTTAATGAACGCTCTTGCAGGTACCACCCGTATTCACACTCAGACCTGAGTTTAGTCATTTTCCGATACGAGATTGGGGACGGGTTCTATAAACAAACAAACAAACAACACTGGTATAGTATACTGGTATAGTATACTGGTTTAGTATACTGGTTTAGTATACTGGTATAGTATACTGGTATAGTATACTGGTATAGTATACTGGTATAGTATACTGGTATAGTATACTGGTATAGTATACTGGTATAGTATAATACTGGTATAATATACTGGTATAGTATAATACTGGTATTGTATATTAGTATAGTATACCGGTATAGTATACTGGTATAGTATACTGGTATAGTATACTGGTATAGTATACTGGTATAGTATACTGGTATAGTATACTGGTATAGTATACTGGTATAGTATACTGGTAAGTTCATTAGATAAACAAAAGGAAACGACGGTTTGAAGTCAGGAAATTGTTAAAACAGTATATAAATTATAAATCATAAACATATAATATAACTCGACCTTTAAATTTATCCTGACGTGCAATGTCAGCTCTCTTTGGTCTCTACAGTCTACATGAGGAATTTGTAAGCTAGTACGTATGTATGTGTTTCGCGCAAATTGCATGTAAAACGGACATTTGAGGCATATATAGGCCGGCTACAAATTGCAAATACAATCGAGAGATAAAGCGTTTATCCCTGAATACATATATAATACCTTACCGGACCTGATTTAAACGGACAAAAAATAAAAATTTTAGGATTCCGTTCAGAATTATGTTTGTTCACGCGATGTCCGGTCAAATAGCGCCCGATAAGGTATGTGTTGTATCACTATTATATCACGTCGTGACCCCCTTTGTCGTTTCACTTAGTGATAGTCCTAGCACCTAGTCACTTTATCGTTTTTACGTTGATACATGTTGCGTATCCCTAATATCAGAGATATATTCGCGCGCGAAAAGTGGCATGCAACGTATGTCAATTTTACGCGATACAGGCCGGGAGCCGCGCACTCGTGCGCGGCGGGTCATACAACGTATGACAAGGTATGTGACGGTCGTGCTTGCCAGCACTGTTTTTATTATAAGTATTATTGCTTCATGTTCGAATAAATTATTTGTTATGAACTGAACATCCAAATTAATTACAAAAATATTTGACCATTGTTAATGATCTGGCCCGGCGCGCGCTACTAGTTCGAATAAATTTAAACGAGTAACATCCGTCAAAAAATATCAGAGGACAGGAATAATTAAAAATAAAATGTATATGTATTATATGACGCCTGTTATGAGTATAACTATGACTATGACTATGTTGCTCTAACCAGAGCCCTCTCGCTTGCAGTAGCGCGCGTGAAACAATTACAAATTAGCGCGTCACGCATTGAAGCGCGATGCACTACTGGGCGCGCGCGCATCCAATAGTGCTTCTCGCAACCACAGATCGGCGAGATGCGAAGGATTAAAATCGTGAATCAAGTCACGCAGTACGCGTAGACACATGGCTATGTGAAATGACTATGAGTACAGTGAACTTAAGTGTGCGCAAACAATGCAAAAACTCGCTCATGCAGCTTCATGTACGTGGCCCACCCAAAAAAACTTTACCAGCTGAGTTGCAGTTTTGACTAAATTTTTGACCATTGATGCGATGATTGATCAATCATATCAGTGAGGGCAGCTTCATGTAAGTGACCCACCCAAAAAACCTTACCAGCTGAGTATATTACAATTGGTAACTGGTGATGCGATCATTTTTTCACACATAACATGCCCTCACTGATATGATTGATCAATCATCAATCGTCAAAAATTTAGTCAAAACTGCAACTGCAGTGAAAAAGGCAAAAAAAATTGTATTCTAAAATCTTCCAAAATGTTTTTTAATTCTTCTATGTTCTATTTTGACAAAATTGTCCGTTTATCGAAGCTTTATCTGGTAATCTGACTTTCAAATTTAATTGCTTTTATATACAATATAACTATTGTGTCTTGTACCATCCACAATGAACTCATAGTCATTACATTGCATAATTGATCATTCAATAAAAATGTTGTCCATTATGTTAAATAAACTAATCACTAATGGACTAGCCCGGCGCGCGCTACTTTGTAACACTTGCAGTTGCTAATTCGGGCCAATTCGAGAAAAAAGCGTTTTACCGCCGGCACCGGTAGGACATTTTATTTTTCAAAAGGTTTTCAAAATTGTCCTTTTATCAAAGTTTTCTAATTCTCCGTATAATCGACCTACGACTTACGACTTACGACCTACGATTTACGATTTACGACCTACGACTTACTCGACTATGAAATTTCGGTCAAAGAAACGCGGACAATACTGAATACCTGTTGTTCTTCATTGCTTACACTTATGACTTACAGCGGATATCGGATCTTCACGCTGTTATTGTGTGTCAAGGTTAGGGGACCGGTTTTTGGTACACCGGCCAATGTTTACAAAATCATATTGATATAATACATAACAATATAATGTTATTTAATATTGTATCACGTGGTGACCCCCACGGTCGCTTCACTAGAGTTTCGACGATACAGGGGGAGCCGCGCACTCGTGCGCGGCGGGTCATATAATAATATAATAATACAACGTATGAAAAATTTAATATACGTTAATATGAGAATTGAAAATTGTGATGTAACCTTTTACATTTATTCATAAAAAAAAACAAAACCAAAACTTTAAAAATTAAAACTTGCATATCAATATCATGATTTATTAACATAGTGACAAATAATTTGATTTGATTCAACAGATGATCACACGTATTGTTTTATTATATATATATAAGCTATACTTATGTCGGATTAACGATTAGTGGGCAGTGCAGAGTCGATAGTATAATACTGTATAGTGCTCTTGTTTGAAGTTAAAACAAATAAGAATAACTGAGCCCATGTCCTATCAGCACTTAATATATATATATATATAATATAACGGGTGATACTCGTAAAATATCTGTTCCATATATTGGACCGTCGACGAGTCCAACTCGGCGCGCGTCCTAATAGGTTGTAAACCTACAAATCAGCACCTGCTATAGTCAATAGACATTGTGTATTGTACTAGCGCTATCAATACATGACGCTATCAATATGACAGTGAATGGGCAGTGAAAAATGTAGCATATGGTTGATAATATTGATGACTAATGTGCTAACACTAACAGTAACTTACCTGAGGACCCCAGGCTATTATGTTCATTAACATAATGAATATAGATTTGGCGGAATGACAGGCTGAGCGCGGCCCAGTAAACAGTAACTAGTCTAGTTTTACTTGTAGGTTTATAACCTACCAGCTACCAGGACGCGCGCCGAGTTGGACTCGTCGACGGTCCTGATATTTGGAACAAATATTTTACGAGTATCACCCGTTAGAGTTTTACTTATTCCTTAGGTAATTCTCCGTAGTTGATTTGTTGAGTGCCTGATCTTGTCGATTTACGCAGCCCGGCTCCGGGTAAATTATGTAACAGAAAAGGTGGCCATTCTTCATCGTTTCCTGAGCTTTGTAGTTCTATCATAACACGAAATCGGTCGCTCGCTTTTCCCATTCAATAAGCTTTATTACAATACGTAAGCCGTGAATGAATGGGAAAAGCGAGCGACCGATTTCATTCTCGGTATCAATTTGCATTTGCGGACGGTTCCTCAAATTAATATCATTTTCTTTTGTTTGGAAAAGAGAGACACTGGCAGCGGTTCACTCTACCCATGATTATGGGTTTTGGTCAAATATCATCTCTTTTTGATTATAATGTCAGGATAATTTACACAGTCGAAACTTAATAAGGAGGTAATTTCAACGATTTCGAAATTTTACCTTTGAAAACGTTTCCTTGTGTTTAGGTA